GTAGTTAAAGCTTTAAACTGAGTTATTTTTATGTTCACAGATAAATATGAGGAGGCACTTTAGGAGAAGTACAGCGTGCCAGTTGTTAAGTATGATGATGGTGCAAATATTATAAGTGGCTTTGAGCTTGTTAATACTGTCACCCCTCACTGAGTGACAGCATCAGCTCGCTGTTGTTGTTTAGTGTAGAGTGGAATTTATTTTTGGGCCCAAATTTTTAAGTATTTGATGTCCAGCTCAAATCCAGAATGCTGACTTTTATGTGTGCTGTCTTTCTGAATTTGTTTCTCTCTCTCTCTGTGTGTGTGTGTGTGTGTGTGTGTGTGTGTGTGTGTGTGTGTGTGTGTGTGTGTGTGTGTGTGTGTGCGCGCAGAAATCCTGAAGAAAGGCAGCTCGGTGCACCCTGCACTTCTGAAGGAGGAGGTGGAGGCTGTCCGGGACAAACAGAGAAGGCCTGTCTACTGCGATCAGCTGCTCCAGCACATCAGCTCACTGCCCACAGAGTCCACAGCAAGCTGCACGGAGTGACGCTGCACACGGAGAAACAGAGACAGATGTTTGTGCCTTAACTGTGAAAAAAAGTGTTCACTTTCTGTTCTTTGAAGTCTATTTAACTGTTTTTGTTTGTTTTTTTTAGCAAGAGTAGAAAACATTTCCAAGACCTGTTCATTACCTCACCATTGTTCTAAAGTACTATGAGTTTTATGACTAAATTTTCTTTAAAAAAAAAAGAAAAGATTTTTTAATAATTTCTTTTTATTCATGTACAGTGTCTCCTTAATTTGCTGTGTTCTGCATTCATTCCTCGGCTGCACTCCTTTGGCTCTAATGTTTGATTTTAAGAAAAATGTTTTCAAAATGGTGTATGTTTGGTTGTTTGTGCATATCCTGTTTGTACTAAACCGGTCAGAGGAGCTGGTCATGTGATTTTTGCCTTCAAAATAAAAGCACACTAGCTTTTCTTATATTTGTCCAAACCGACTTGATTGGATGTTTAAATCCAGGTTATATTTCATGAAATCTGATTCTTTAAATAGGACATTATAGATTTCTGCAGCACCACACTGATAAGAGCAGCGCTCCTGTATCCATCCTTTTCACAATCTGCTGATTCTCGCTCATCTATTTGAGATCTGCCTCCAACATGTAGCCACCCGCGTACTGATAGCAGAGCTCCATCCATGCCGTGTCTAAACAGCGACTTTTGCATCCACCCAGCCGGCCGTGACACAAACATCCCGTCCTGTGTTCTTTCACCATGCTGCAGATCGGAGATGAGGTGGTGTATTTCTCAGTGGTGTTTCTGCTGGTTGTACTGGTAACTAGAAGCGCCACTTGGGCCACCCTCCTCACCGCGTTTCTCTACATCTTCATGGTGATGTTCCGCTTCCCTCCGGTGCCGGCGGACCGGGCCGCTCGAGTCCTGCGGCCCGGCGCTCTCTCCTCAGGCGGCGGCGTCCCGGTGGTGGCGCACCGCGGAGGAAGCCACGACGCTCCGGAGAACACCTTGGCAGCGATCAGAGAGGTGAGAGCTGTAGTGCTCTGATTTATAACCACAGGCCTCTTGTCTCTTATCTACCTGCAGCAAATGACAGGTGCAGGGACATTTAATTATGGTGTTATCTGGAATAACAGCCCCTTGGGTTAAAAGCCATTGCTGAGACATGCTGTCGCTGTTACTTTTGCAGTAAAAGCAGGTTTTCTTGGTGTTTTTCAGCTGCTTTTGGGGGGGGGGGTTAGAAATAAGTGGAAGTAGGTCAGACTCAACTTGCACCTGATTCTGCTCCTGTGCTGTTTATAATCTTTATGATGAAGATCTGCTCTCCATCTCACAATGCCTTCTCTTCCTAGCATCTATCCAGATGCCTAAACCTCTGGATGAAATGCTTCTTTTATTTCAACAGGCTGGTTTTCAGCTTTTTATGAGTATGAAGCAAAGATAAAATCGTATCTGTCTTCTGGACAGCAGAATTCATCCATCCATGTATATAATCATACATTGGTTCACGCTGTATCACTCTGTCCCATTACATCTGCTCTAGGCTAGTAGGAACGGGGCCACCGGAGTGGAACTGGACCTGAGTTTCACAGCCGACGGAGTCCCAGTCCTGATGCACGATGAGACCGTGGACCGAACCACCAATGGGTCTGGACCAATCAGCAAACTTCAGTTTGTTCAGCTCAGGAGACTCAATGCTGCTGCTCACCACAGGATGAAGTAGGCTGCCTATTGATCAGTGATTCAAGCGTGTTTAGGCTAATTAAAAAGGGGAAAGTGTTTGTGAACAATAAGCTGCTCAATGTGGAGTCTTAGAAGTGTTTTCACCAAAGGTTCACAGTTTTAGAAATGCAGAAACTTTGGTTCTCCTTTTGTCTTTTTTTCCTCCTTATTTTTGTCTATATGTGTATTTTTCAACAAAATGATTTAATAGTGCATCTCTTTTCATAGACGTAGAATAAAACTAATGGAATGTACACAGTTGTGGTCAAAAACCTTACATACACTCATCATGCTCCAAAAATGACACCTTTATTCTCGCGTCTTTCCACACGGATGAGTCAAATATCTTGTGGTTGCAAACCTGAGAACACTATACCAAATTTCAGGCATGGTGGTGGTAGCATCAAGCTCTGGGGCTCTTTTGCTGCCAGTTATACTTGTAGATTGTCAATTCAGTCAAGAGGAGTGGTCAAATATCCAGTTTGAGTTAGAAGCAAGAAACTTGTTTATGGCTACCAAAGGCATCTGTTTGAGGTGCAACTTACTGCGAGCATTTAACCAAATATTAGTGGGTGTGTATCTATACTTTTGACCGTGTGTGGATTAGAGAAAATCCAAAATAAATTCAAACTTGTGCACCCACTTCTTGCTTTCAAAGTCATTAAAGATGTGTAATGTGAAATCATCCTGGAAAAAGAACAGCTCAAAGAAATCATATATTTATGCTTACAATGAGACATTTATGCTCATTGTAAGCATAAATGAGTTGATGCAAACTTCTGACCACCAGCTTTATACAGATGTAGTTCATAGACCAGTAACCAGTAAGAACAGGGAGTTATGTCAGTTTTCCAATGGTTTCTTTTAATTTGCAGGGACAGATTTAATGTAGAGAAGGTTCCAACTCTGCAGGAAGCTGTGGAGGAATGCATCAGGCACCAGCTGACCATCTTCTTTGATGTCAAAGGTCAACCTGATATGGTACTACATACACTAAGCGCTAACCTAACAGGCTTATGGATACATTACTCAACATACATACAAGGCTCTCGAAGAAAAGAGAAAAACTACACGCTAGCTGAACTAATGCAATGATTGTAATAAAAAAAGAAAGAGACTGACGTTACCGCACAGTTATAGTACTTGTGTTGTTCATTCCCCTGCTTTACAGGCTGTATCAGTGCTTCACAACATGTTTAAGAAGTTCCCGGTGCTTTACAACTCCAGCGTTGTTTCCTCCTTTGAACCCAAAGTCATCTACAAGGTAATTCAAAAACTCCTGAATTACACTAATCATGAAAATCAGTCAAAAACAACTCCAATCATAACGGTTTAGGATAATGTTTAGGAGGAGGAATTCTGTGAGTGATTTCAGCTTCTCGTAATCAGCCTCTGTTTTATGGAGGCAGTGATGTCATTTTGTGTGGCAGTGATGGGCCCTGCTGAGATTTATCACCCAAGACTTTCTTGCTCACCACCGGTACAGATTTAATTCAATCCACTGTATTTGTTTAAACGAAATAAAAGGCTCTACTAACTACTAAAACCTGCACTGTGTTGACCTTTGTCCTCTTCTGGTCCGCAGATGCGTCAGACTGACCCCCACGTGATCACAGCTCTCACCCACCGGCCCTGGAGACTGAGCCGTTTTGGAGACGGCACGCCTCGTTCTCTGTCGACGTGGAGCCAGTTGTGGACCGGTGTTCTGGACGTCTTGTTGGACTGGGCCCACCATCGCGTACTGTGGAAACTTTGTGGGATCTCTGCCATTCTTGTGCAGAAAGACTTCATCTCACGGTAATTGAGAGTTGACAGGTAGTTTATTTTGCCGTAGACTGTGTTGTTGCAGACCAACGGTGACCAACAGGAAGGTGGTTTTGATTCATCTGTTACTCATAAATGATTAACTTCATATTTAGTGTTTAAAAGTACTGTGCAAAAGTCTCGAGCCACCTCTCGATTTTTGAAATATTTTTGCTGCGTGAGAATTGCACAATTGAGTTTGTTCTCTTTCCTTTCAATCAGGGACTATGTTCAGTATTGGGCAGAGCGAGGAGTGGAGGTGGTGGGCTGGACTGTTAACACTGCTGTGGAGAAGGAGTACTACCAAAACCTGCTGAAGATCAGCTACATGACTGACAGTCTGCTGGAGGACTGTGATCCTCATTATTGAGCGATACCACACAGCCACACACACAGAAATCTTCCAGACTTACAGGTTCTCAATATAACCAAATTAGATCTTAGAAACTCGTTGGTTTGACAAAGGGTATGATTAAGAAGTGCAATCATTCATTTCTACTCCTGCGTACAAGTAAATAAAAACCATACCCGATTTAAAGTGGTTAATCTCCCCTTCAAGGCAGCCTCCTTAGGAAGTCCTCTTGCTCTTCCATAAATCTCCTCTGTGTCAAAATGGTGACCCTTCAACTTGAATTCCCTCAGAAATCTCAGGACATTACAGTACACCTCAGAGTGAACAGTGTCAGCCTGGGATGGGAACAGTCACAGCTCAAAACCTGCTCGGTGCTGCAAAAATGATGAGCGTGCATGGTGTGTAGTGAAATCAAAGAAGCAGAAGAACGAGTGGTCACGACTGAAGTGCTGCAGCGCCTCACGAGGAGCTGACTTTTAGGTGGAGATCTGCCAGATTCATAACCAGTGCAGTTTATTTTTAAAGAATAGCAACACATGTCATTTTTCCTTTTAATAATCCTAAAAATCCTATATAATAAAGTGAGAGTGTTGATAATACTGAAAGATAAATTATAAAATGGAATAAAGCTAGAAGTTTGGTGCTAGCTAATTCTGTGATGGCAACCAGTTCCACAGAAATACACCGGTTTACAGTGTTGTGCAAAAGTCTTGAGCTAACACTTGTTTCTTTATATATCTTTGAGTAATCTTCAGGAGTAGTTCCCAGGCTTCTTGAAGGACATTCAAAGCTCTTCTTTGGATGTTTCTGCTTTTTGTGTCAAGACGCTTCAGTAAAGTTGAGGCTCGAGCTCTGCAGAGGCCAATCCATGACCGATAGTTTCCTATTGTATGTTATCCATGTTGTTTTTACTGCATTGGGAGTGTGTTGGATCATTGTCATGCTGTCCACATCATTCAGTCCAGTTCTTGTGTAGTTCAGCATACCTCAGCCTTTTCTCCTCTTTTCCCTTCCTTACGAATGGCTCCGTGACCGCCGTCTTTCCACCGAGACCATTTGTGATGAGCGTTCAGTGAACAGCAGACGGCTCAACTGAAGGTTCAGATGCATCTCTCAGGTTCTGCATTAAAACCTGAATTTTCTTTCCTATGTAAATGGTAAATGGCCTGTATTTATATAGCGCTTTACTAGTCCCTAAGGACCCCAAAGCGCTTTACATATCCAGTCATCCACCCATTCACACACTGGTGATGGCAAGCTACATTGTAGCCACAGCCACCCTGGGGCGCACTGACAGAGGTGAGGCTGCCGGACACTGGCGCCACCGGGCCCTCTGACCACCACCAGTAGGCAACGGGTGAAGTGTCTTGTCTTAAGAAGATGACTTTCACATACTGTTCATGTACTGTTCCTGCTCATATATATATCTGCAGATGCTGTAGATATATATAGTTTTTAGAAACTACTACATCTTCTTTTATCCTGCACTTGTCCAGCTTCCTCAAATGCTGTAAGGACCGGCTGCACACCATGCTGGGATTTTTCAGTTTTTGGCTGTTTGGGAATCACCTTGTTGGTGCAAAAATACTTTTTTATATCTGCTAGAAAGAAAGTTGTCTGTTATGTGTAGACACATACAATAGGAATTATTCATAGGTCAAGTGTTAAGTCCCTTAACAAAAACAAACAAACCGAAATTATTCCCCTGAAAATGATCAGGTACAAGGACTGGACTGAAAATGAGTGAAAAAGTAGCCAAAGTCCAAACAAAAACTTTGAAAGACCTTCAGAAAGCCCAAAGAACTATTGCTCAAGACCACCTTTTGAAAACTTCCAGTAAAATCTGACTCTTCTTCTAGTTACCTGTAGCTGGCACACAGGCTATACAAACATGTTACACCATGAAGGAACATGTGCAGGCTTGTCACCTTTATTCTACTGCGGGCAGTAACACCTCCACCTCACCTGGACCAGGGATAAGCATTTTCTCTACCTGCTGTGCTGCTGATCTTCCACAGGTTTTACTGCACCTTTAAAGAGACAACAATGTATGTATATAGTGGTTACATAACATTTAGGCATCATATTTACTGCTTGTCATGATGACATTGTCATAATGGTAAAAGATCTCATGTCACTGCTTTGTGATGTTTATTTAGTCCTGCAGCTGCACAAAAACACAAGAAACTGTGCTGCATGTAAGACAGTGATAATATGGGTTAATTGTACAATTCAAAAGTGCAAGCAGAAGCACCAACTCAAATATTTCTATATTGTTTTAATGCGTGTGTCAATAAAAGAGGGTTTTGTTTAATCTGAGAAAAAGTGGGTCATGAATCATGCGAGGTGACACACGCAGAACATCTCATTCATTACTGTAACTCATATTTATTCCTCTGATGTTTCAGGTGTGTTTCTGTGTCCAACTGCTGCTAATAGTTTCATTTACAGGGTCAAAGTTTGCTTTCTTACTTTCTTAATGAACACTTGAGTTGTGCTCGTGTAAAGATAAGTAAAAAATATATATATATATATCAAAAACAGCAGTATTTGTTTTGTCTTTAACTGCAACACATCTGAGATACAGACATCGAAAGATTTGGAAGTTTTTTCCCCTTAAAAGGTTACAGAAGAAACAAAAGGGGCCTTGGTATCGAGAACTCCCGCCCGGGCTTGGGATCGACCTGGTTACACTCTGACTGAGAACCAGGACGCAAATAAATATATTTCAATCATGAATTGACGCACTAATGGTGCGAAATGCTGCAAACAATATCAGACCAACGTACAAAATTAACTTTTTGAGCCTCAGAATTGAACTGGGGGAGAACTCCCACAGATGTGTTACTGTTGGTGCACCTGTGCTCACCTGTGTGTACTGTAAACACAGACATCGTTGGCGCATTTGCTGCTTGTTGAAGCACATACACGTCACTCATCTGACCCGATTTTAGTGTCTTATTCGTCACACTGAGGCCGAATCATCGCGATAACGTGAAATCATCTTGCCTTTTCGCTCTCGCCTGAGGCAAATTAGTGAAACAAGCTTCATTACACCTCTGCAAGTCTCACTTCACACTCGGGGGACGCTGTCGCTTTAAAGCGCCAAAGGAGGCGTGTAGGCACGTCGAGACGGTGACCGTGTGCGTCTCGTGTCTTACGAATGACTGCCGCTGTTTCAGGTTGTGTGACATTGTGGCCGGCCAGGACACCTTAGCACCAAAGTGACTTACGTTTTGTGAGTGATCGGGGCACACGGAGAGACGGGACTCTGACTGTGCACTGGTCGCTAGTTTTTGGGGTTGTTGTGTTTTTTACGCGTGGCGCACTGCTCTGCTTCACGAGGTTACCGAACAGTTTGCACACTCTCGTGCCCCAGCTCAGTGGATTGATCAGCTTCTCACATCAGAAGAGCTTCTTGGATGTACGTGCTTTGCTTCACACTTCAAAGTGTCGAACTCGGGGATCACAGGTGAAGCCGCCCGCGCATGATGTACACAATTACAAGAGGTCCCAGCAAACTGGTCACGCAGCGACGCACAGGTGAGACTGTGGGGCTAAACTATGAAGCACGGCACACCGGAAAACCCACTTTCACCTCTCCGGACTGCTGATAACAAGTTGTTTTATCCTCTTTGTCTTGCTCTCCAGGGCCCACACAGCAGCTGGACAGCAAAATCAGTGACTTCAAGCACAAACAAACGTCCTGGAATATGCCTGGGTAGGTGCACAGGTCGTGAAAGGAGACAATTGTAAAGAAATGATTGCATTATAGTTTTTTCAGATACTTTTGGTTGTGATTGTGAATGACTGTGTCCTAGCAGCTGTGGACGTCATCAGCTAGAGACCGCAGCAATTGTTCATCAGCTGATGCCTTGGTGATTGAATAAAACTCCGCTCTGGTTTTCTCTGAGCTTGGCCTGCCTACTCTGTTGGGTTTTTATGATTTTTGGTTTGAACCAGCCAGGCAGACTGGCCCTGTTCATGTGTGTGTGACCTTGGATCACAAGGTCCCTCATTCAGCTGTTGTAACTTCTTACTCCTGCTTAACCAGCCTTTCTTGGATATAGGATATCACTTAAAGTTCCTGCTTGGGAATGATAATGAGCACTTTCTTTCTTGCAGAAATCAACACAGTACTTCTCTTGTCCCCCTTTCAGACTTCCCGCTCCAAAGATCGTTTTCAACCGTCCGAATGGTAAGAAATACCATCACCCTGCTCCAGCTCTGCCCGCACACAATCATCACGAAGAGAGTTTCACGCTGTCACATGAAGAAAATGTCAAGTTTGTCTCTGAGGGTAAGAAAGTGAGAGACCGTTACACTCATTCCTCACTTGCTGTTTTGTGAATGACATTGTTTTACTATCAAGATGCTAACCAGCCCCTTCTTCCCTCCAAGGCCTCACCCACACAGCTGCTCTGACACTGATAGGCACTGAGCAGAAAAATGCTCTCACGCCCACATCAATCTCCTCTTGACCCACGCTGGCACATGTGCTGAAAGAAATGACATTTCAGGCTTGGGCTTTAAATCTAGGCATCACTTTAAAGAAGAGCACCAAAGCGTTCTGACAGGATTGTTGGGTCTGGTGACCCGGATTTGAAGTTTGGGCTTCTTTTTAACATTCACAAACCCAGCAGGTCTCCAGGAGATCCCCCACTTGGCTCAGTGGTTCTTACACTGTGTGTCCTGTTGTTGGCATTGAAGCTCAGTCACAGCAGCTCATAAACGACTTGAGTAACCTTGGCACTGACTGGACAAGGGCACAAAGTAGGCCTGACACCGCCTTTCTGTTCAGGTTGGATTGGTTCTTTTCTGTTCACTGAAATACAAATTGTATAATCAAACGTATCCACTGGGGGCTCCTCAAAGTCGTGACCTGGAGACAGCTGCCAAAGTTGAACTCAATCGTAGTGTACAAGCACACACACAGTTTGTGACCACGTGCTTCACTGTTTGGAACACAAACATTGGTCAGAGGTATGCCTCTGAAACAGTTGCTGGACTTTACTTGTTAGGCACTGTGGGTGTGGCCCTGGAGTGTAGGACTGGACAGAGGACATTTTGGTGTTCATGGTGGCTTTACTGACCGAAGTCTTGTGTTTTCAGCCTGGCAGGAGGTGCTACAGCAGGAGGTGGGCCAGGCTGCACAGAAAGCAGTGCATTATAAAGAGGCCACTCCCAGCCCACACATGGACGGTGAGTATAGCTACTGTTTTTCCTTTTTGTATTGTCTTCAGACCCCAAGTCTGTGGGTTTTTTTTTTTTGTTTTTTTTTTTTTTTTTTTTTTTTTTTTTTTTTTACGCACTGTGACAAAAAAGTCCTGAGATTTTTATTTATTTAGTGCAAGTGTAACAATCATATTTCATCTAGCTGCAGCTCACAGGCTGTTGCAACCTGTGCAGTAGGTCGCTCTGGTTTATAACAGCCAAATAGCATAGCCCACAGTAACGGGTCAAATCTGACTCATTCTAAAATTTTATTATAGCAATGCATAGGGAAAGCTCACACACACGTTTTCATGGTATTTGTAGGTTTTTTGTTTTTACATGTAACAGTGATCATAATAATACTAAGACCTCTAGCCCAGAACAAAAATCCAAAACTCATGAATAAGATGAGTCAAATAAAAATACATTAAATACAACTCGTTGGTTCTCTAACTTTTAATGTGGTGGTGTGACTGAGCTGTTGCAGTTCCGCCTTATGACCACCGGAGGGCGATGATCACTTTAGATTCCCAGCAGGCAGACGTAACTGATGAAAGTCGGCAGTGTTAAATATATATCGTAGCATTATGTAAGACAGCTTGATGTAAAAGATGCTAGTATTTATTTTTGAAGTTTTTACGTTTCTCATTTCTTTTTTTTAAATGAGATTTAAAAATGCGTTTACTTTGAATTTACTACATCGTCGCAGTTCCTCCTTGTGACCACAAGAGGGCACTGAAGACTCATTAAAAATGCTGTTGTTGCAGTTTGATGGTTTAGCTCACAGGTTGAGTGGATTACCTTTTACCACTGGGCTAAATGCAGCAGTGGAGTAGTGTATTGAATAGGTGGTAAGGAAAATTTATAGATGAAGAGAAAAGCGTAATATTTAGTGATTCTTTATTTTTCATCCTTTTGACATATTTGTTCTCAACCGTCCACGCCATGGACAAAGATGTATCTAATGGTTTAATTTCCGTTTTCTTCTCAGACTTTGTGCCCATAGATTTGGATGAATGGTGGGCCCAACGCTTCTTGGAAAACATAGATAAGCTCTCCTGACGCTCCTCTGGGATTCGATGCTCTTGGACAGTCTGGAGGTGAGACCGCGATGACGGCTCACAAAAGAAGAGGAAGCCTGGGCGGGAGTTCTGATGGGTCAAAGTGCCCAGATGTGGTTGAAATGGACTGACAGTGTTGATAACGGTGGACAGAGAAACTCCTGAGAACCACTTGAACTTGTGCGGTCACACAGCCGTGCAGACAGACTGCACACAGAAGGATGAAGTCTTAAAACTGAGGTTCATCTTATTTTCTCTCTTACAGCAGAGATGTTACTTTGAAATGCAGTAAAATTGTATTTTAAAGAAGTTCAAGATTACAGCTTCATTTCTTTAACCTGGCATTATGTTGAATCAGTGTTTATTTGCTGACAAGACTCCATAAATCCTCACACTATCTGAAATGACGTTTACCGCTTCCTGAATGCAGCAGAGTCTCAGAGTACGAGCGCAAACCGCTGCTCAGAAACATTTTAACACCACAAAACTAACGAGCGTAAGAAAAATGGTTCAAGCAAAAACAGTGAGAACAGCGAAAGATTACAAACTACCAGGCTGAATTTCAAATGTGCTGAGAGGTGAAGATTTACTCTTAAGTGTCCTTGTGGTTGAGCTGGACAATGTTTTTCTGCACAATTTGTACCTCAAAGACGAGGTTGTTACTCTGAAAAACCAGATTATCTGGAAACTTAGAAGTGGCACATTTCCAAAAGGAAGACCAATAAAGTTTCCTTATAAATCCAAACTTGGAAAAATATCAGATATTTAAGATGAGTCCAGCTGGCAGCAGCACATCAGAAGTTCAGCGCTCACTTAGAAGCCTGGAGTATTCATGATGTGATTAAGAATGAGCCTGGCTATTAACTGAAAGTACACTAAGAGTGAGCGTAATGGCAAAGTCACACTGTAACAACAGACCGGTGCAACCAGGACCAAAGAACACAAAGCGTAGAGACACTGAAGTGTTTATGGAGAGTCTTCAGGCAGTTCCTGTTTCAGCCTTCACGCCTGCTGCACCGGTGGAAATGAAAGTCTTGAGAGGCGAAAAGAGGTGGCGTATTCTTTATAAAGTCTAGTTCTCTGGCTTTATCGACCATTGAGCTGCTGCGAATGCTCCAGGCTACAGGCCGCTTTCACCAAAGCAGAGTGTGTCTGCGGGCCGCTCTCAGTGCTTCTCTAAAGCTTTGGTCAGGAGGTCGTTGAGGCGGGAAATCATCGGTCGAGGATCATCGTTCAAGCCGGCTGCGATCATGGCATTGTCATAGATCTGGAAAAAATAAAAGTAAAACTATAGAAGCTGCACTGCTACCAGTTAAAACAAATTACCATAAAATCTCTCCAGTGAACAAGCTAATGGCATCCTGCCTGCAGAGAAAGGCTGGGCAACGTTTTACACTGATAATAACATGCTTATTGTATCGGTATTGGCAATATTAGCCCTGTATTTACCAAAATTTGCAGTATCTGACAGCACTACAACACATCCCTTATTTTTTCATTAAAACACATTTGACATTTCATTTTTGTTCTTCTAAATATAAGGAAAGTGTTAAAAATTGTGATATGGCGTTTTTTGTTTTTTTTGGTTTAGAGATCATTAATGGAAAAAATGGGCAAAGAGCAAAGAGATGAAATGACTGAGCACAGTACCTGCTCCAGTAATAATCCAGCCAGCTCAGAGTTTGTGTCCTTCAGTGCGAACAACTTCTTGATCAGATCGTGTCTGTGAGAAAGCAGAGCGCAGTCAGAAGAGGACAAAAACCCACTTTCTCCCACTCTCCACCCAGTACAATTTGTCCACACACACACCCTGCATTGATCTCCAGTGTGGGCTGCAGTATTTGGGCTCTCTCCTCAGCAGTGCGGGCCAGCTGCTGGGTGCGGAGGAAGTGGCGTGCGGCGCCCATTTCCAGCACTGTGATCATGGCCGGGTGGGTGTCCAGACGAGGCGTCAGCTAAAGTGCCAGAGGAGAAAATTAACTACAGCACACGGTGGTAACAAAGAGACGTTTAAATCTGTTTCTCAAGGTGCTTAACATGAAATGGTTGTTACCAAAACAGAGGACAAACTGTGACGCCCATTGTTACTGGAATGTCCATTTAATGATGCAGGAAATGTGTAAATGTTCATTTCCCTTAAAGCTTTATTCATATAGCACCAAATCACAACAACAGTTAAGATTAAACACCCTGCAAAATAACAGAGAAAACCCCAAAAATCAGGTGAGTTCCTGTGAGCAAGCACTCTGTCGACAGTGGGAAGGAAAACTCCCTTTTAACAGGAAGAAGCCTCCAGCAGAAACGGGCTCAGCGAGGGGCGGCCGTCTGCCGCCACAGGTGATGATGTGATGTGTGTGTGATGTGTGAATGTGCCAAATCGTTTTCAGCCAAATAGATTCCCACGCTGTGTGACTGTCACCTTAAATGTTTAAATGTAGTTTAAAGTTTCAGGCCTTTAATGTGCAGCCGTCACTTTATTAGCACTGATAATAATTAAGCAACTAAAATGATTAACTTAAAATGTTTTTATTACTACTCTGTACAGAGAAAAATCCAATCAGGTGATTTCCTGTCCTCTGATTAACGATCTTCTGTCCTCTGCTCGGACTGTCTCGTCCTTTTTGTGTGTTTTATGTTCCTTATAGATTTTTAATCACCATTTCATTATCACCCTCTGATAACATCTGTGATTAGAGCAGGTGCTACTCATACTGATCACTGTGTGAAAGAAGAGTCCCATGACCCACAAAACTCCTCATACAGAGCCTGAAGCAGAAAGCTGATTACTCCTGTAGTGATACCCGTTCTCTCCACCTGGGGTTTTAGGTTTTGTTGAGCCAAAGAAAGCCTGGTTGTGCTGAACTTTGATGTCTCTCATTGGTTCACATTATAAACTGAGTCAAACTCACAAATAATCGCATTTTCAAGCCGATTTCATCCTGAAATTCCTGACGTGAAGCTTTGGAGCTTCTGTGAAGATGTTGGCTTGTAATCTGTTTACGAACGTAAAAACTAAGGTCCGAGTCGCCCTAACTGTGTCAGAATTAGTCACACTTTGCTTAGTTCACATAGAGGAAGCAAGCTTCCACATCATTGTTTTTTATTTACCGACACGACGGTTAAAATTGAGTCCGTGACAGGAAATCAGCCGATCATTCACCACAGCTCCCAATCTGATTTAACCAGCACTTTAGAAAAGTGTTTAACTTTTCCCATCATACCCTCCTTCAGGACCTAAAGTTCACGCTCTTCCCACAAAACTTTACAAATCTACAACTGTGCAGAAAGAAAAAGGACAAAAAAGAAAGGAAACAAAGCGATCGAAGGTGTGGATAGAGACGACCAACAAGCCTCCAAGAACCCATCAGCCGAATTCAGAAACAGTCATTTCAGGTATCTCAGGCATGCAAATGTTCCTCTCTTACCTTTATGTTAGTCACACGGGGTCCAAGCGAGTTCTTCATCCAGGCCATGAGGTCGTCAGCCTGCTCCTGCGTCAGGCGCTCGGATGCTGCGAGGAAGAAAAGACGATGAGCAGGAGTCAAGTCTACAGCTGAAACAGCGAGAGGCTCTTGTGAAAGACGGGCACACCTGGCTTGCTGTCTTCATACTTCTCCTCCTTGTAGTGATCGACCACGATGTCGGTCTCGACTGAGATCAGCTTCTTCTTGTCAAACTCTCTGAGATGCAGCAGGGTCAGCTCATCGAACTGCTCGTAGCAGAAGAGCACCTGCATACGTGCACGTACGCAAATGGAGACACGGCAGTTTGTTATAGTGAAGCTATAAGCAGCACCTGTTCTTGATTAATCAGGATAATGATCAGCTCGGGTTACCCGGCTGCTGGCTAACTCGAGTCCAAGTCTTACCTCCATGTCCTTCTGCTTCATGGCTTCGTAGTAGGGGGAGTGCTCTGCGAGATGTCTGTTGGGGGCACACAGGTAGTAGATGTTACGCGTGCCTGCCTTCATGCGGGACGCGTACTCCATCAGATTGGTCTGCTGGCCGGCCGGCAAAGCCGACGACTCGAATCTCAGCAGCTTTGCGATATCCTCCTACAAAGAGCGAGGGCACGGAGCGTGACTCAGACTCAAAGTGTTTCTGCTAACCTTTAAAAATCTGTGTCATTTCAATGCAAAGCTCTGGTGCAAACCTTGACATCTTGTTCCTGTGTGGTGACGATGCCTTCCCTCATGAAGAGGCCGTAGTCCTCAAAGAACTTGCTGTACTTCTCTGGCTCCTTTTTGCTCTGGTCCAGCAGGAAGCGGATCACCCTCTGCTGCAGAACATCACGAAGCTTCCTAAAGAAAGGAGACGGTAGAGAAATGAGCAAACATCGAGGGGAGAACAAGCGAAGAACGGAAAAATTGACTGCACGGTTTTAGTGTAAGGGGTCAGTCTTCTCGCTGATATGCTCTAGTGATGTCAAACCTCTATTTTAATGCATAGTCAAAGCACAGGTTACCGTCATGGCTTTGATTTTGCACATGCATATTTTAGAGGAGATTTTTTTGTAACGAACTATAGTCGTTTCCTCTGAGGTCACGAAACTCTGTGTGGAGCGGTTTCCAGAAGAAGGTGAGCGGTCAATGAGATGCGTGGTTACAGCCGTGTTGGGAGATAATTCAGTCCCTTTTTTTAAAACG